ATGACACATAAATCATTAACATTCTTAAAATGTTAAAAGAACAAATTACTAAGTTTAATAGGGCCAATTTTTCGCTACATTAAAAAACAATAACATTAGTGCACCTAATTAAAAGTATAAACTGAAATTATTTCTTTCTCCTCCAGAGCTATCGGTGCAATGCTGTACGCTGGCTGGTTGTTTAAGGAGCTCATCCGCTCACTACCTGATACCCAGTCGGCACAAATAGCAGCTTCAAGAATACTAGCACTACTGGAGGAAAAACCCTCCATTAACATACCTAACCAAGGAGTGGATATCGCCACAAAAGTATGTATACATGTACATCATTAACATTGTTGCCTATGATTCATGTACAAGGACCAGACTTTTTAGTAACTTTAAAAATTTTTTTAAATTAATTTTGATCGGAATCACCTCAAACTTTCTACACAACATAACAATAATATCTTTACTACTGTACATGTACATGTATGTATGACACTTAATTGTAGAAGAGGAATTAATGATTATTATTTTAATATTGTAGTTTCAAGAAGATTACGCTAAGCTCGCATTAGACGACATTCATTTCTCTTACTCGTCTCGTCCTGGTGTGGTGGTACTACCCGGTCTGAGTCTCACCGTTAAACCAGGAAAGACTCTCGGCATAGTAGGACCGAGCGGATCAGGAAAGAGCACCATACTGTCGCTTGCCGAGAGATTCTATGATCCTGATCCTGATTCAGGAACAATAGAATTCAACAATATCAATATCAATATCTTTGAGATCTCATCTCTCCGGAGACAGATGAGTCTAGTACCTCAGGACCCAGTTTTATTTGACATGTCTATTTCTGATAATATTCGTTATGGGGCTTTATTTAGAAATGACATTACTGAAGATGAAGTCATAGAAGTGGCTAAAGTTGCTAATATTCACGAGTTCATTATGTCATTGCCTCATGTGAGTTTAATGAATTATGTGGTGCATGTACATGTATACAGACTAGCCTCTATATAATGGACACTTTGGTACAAGAAAGTGTCTCTGTTATACAGAGGTGTCCTCTATGTGGAGGTTATTTTATACAGTAAGGAATGTAATTGGTACACTAGGTGCTGTCCGTTAAATGGAGGTGTATGCTATAGAGAGTGTCCATTAAGAGAGACTATACATATCAAACTCTTATAGTTTTATTTGCCTTGCAAGCTAAAAATACTTTCTAATTTGATGCATTACATATTAAGAATTGATTATTATAGGGTTACCAGACTATGGTTGGTAGTAGAGGCACTCAACTAAGTGGCGGTGAGAAGCAGCGAGTAGCCATTGCCCGTGCTTTAATTAGAAACCCCAAAATCCTCCTCCTTGATGAAGCAACGTCAGCTCTTGACTCGGAAAACGAGAAAGTGGTCCAGGAAGCTCTTGATAAAGCAAGACGAGGTCGTACTACCATTATCATAGCTCACCGACTGTCTACGATATATGAAGCTGATTCTATTGCTGTCCTTCATCAGGGAAGTGTTGTGGAGCAGGGAACTCATGAGGAGTTGATGAGATTGCAAGGACACTACTACCTAATGAACAGTGTCTCACAGCAGCAGAAGGAGGAGGAAGAGGAAGATGACATTTTTGTTTGATTTATTATAATTTTTAATTGGTTTTCACTCACTAGAGTACATTATCAATGATCGTACACCATCAATTTTCGGACACTTGTTTTAGGAAAACTATACATTGCCATCTCATGAAACTGCAAAGTATTATAGCAATAGTTATCCTTTATTTGCGTGACAAAACTTGTAGCTCTAGCAAGAGTGCATAAAAAGTTATAAGCTCTCAAAGCGTGGTGTCCGACAATACCAATGATCGGCCAAAATTCTCAATCTTCGGACTGTCATTTCTGAACGACAGCAAAGGATAGTTTTAGAAGGTCACTATGATAACTTTGTAGGCCTGTCTTTAAACTAACTATCACCATCCGGATCTTTTTGATAGCTGTCTTTTTGACAGAGATAATGGCCACTTAAAATGTGTCACCTGATCCCTCAATATACGGACAAATTTTACAAAAATATACAAAAATTATGAATTTTATTAGTAAAACTCCGTAAAATCATCAGTTTTGTATATTTTTGTAAAATTTGTCCGTATAT